GTATATGCTGAGTATCATTTTCCTATGAGACTAACACGCTAACCACTATGCCACACAGCTCCTGGAGAATAGTGGCATTTAAATCATGTTTTGTGATATGACCCTTGACTAAATGGACTTCAAGTATTTCTTAGAAAGATGCAAATGTTGTGTCATAAAGGTGTATTTTTAAGGTATAGTGGTTCCTTGCTCCATGATTTTGTTAACCAAAAAATGAACATTTTTACGCAAACTTTGAGGATAAACTTTCAAAAAATGGAGCGAAGACCCACTACATGTAATAGTGAAAAATTATAATATGAGAAAATGGTTCTTTTAGCCCTCTTTAGTGTGTGTATGCTATTTCAAAGGCAAATAATTTCTATTTTTGTGAGATTTTTGTAAATTTTGGAGATTTTGCATAAAATATACATGTACTTTAATGTTAGATGAAATATCACAGAATTTTTTTATAGTTGAGATTTAATTTTCCACTTCATGTTTGTAGCACTAAAGGCATTTCGCTCGCCTTAATTGTTTGTCCATCTTCTTGAACTAACTGCTCTTTGTTCACTGAAAAGCACTAAGGATTAATCAACAACTAACAAATGAAATTTTCAAGACATTCCAGACATAGGTACCCCCCCCCCCAAAAAAAAAAAAGAATTAAAACTGTTTACCTTGCCATCACAGATTTGTCTGTTCAGCTTGCAAATCGTTAAAATTTTGAAAAGTATTTGGTAATTTTCCACCACATTTCTGCTTAATTTCGTAAATGAGCGAGGAATCAATTGCGTTAAAATATCTTTTAAAAATGACTCTTCAGCTTGCAAATCCTTAATTTTAAAAGTATTGGACAATTTTCTACCACATTTCTGCATAAATTCCTTAAATGAGCGAGGAATCAATTGCGTAAATATTTCTTTTTAAAAAAATGACTTTTTTAAATTAAGCTTCCTCTTCATCTTGTACAATTGTAATTTGTCCACATATACGGGACTTGGAAGACAATGCATGTTTATAGTTATAACCTTGCTCATAGTTCCTTTATTTCAGTGGAAATTAGAAATGACTTCAAGATACTTTTTTTCCGTACATGACACAGTAGTTATAGTTTAGCCTAGCTGCCAAACTGTAGCGTTATGGTTATGGTCAAAGACTAAAATATAAAACCATAACGCTACAGTTATGCAGCTAAGTTTAGCCTAACGGTGTTAATTACCCGGATCCAGCAGAAGTTCGATTTATGAGTTAACAGATTGGCAGTTTACTTCTGTTCTGAATTTTCTATCCAGCTGGATCATCACAGAGGGTAGGGGTGGGGGGCTTTTCTCCGAACGTTATCGTTTACTGTTAATTTAGAACAAAAAGAAAAGATATATATATCTGTACCAATCTGCAATAATTGTCAGTATACTGATTAAAAGTGTAATGATCAGTCCGTTCCAAATCCTTCAAATTAATATATACAAGTCATATACGTAATGCAGACAGGTATGTACATATATTGCCCAACTTCTCTACATATAAAAGGTGCATGACTACATAGGCCCCATTCGATTATCGTTATTAAGAATTACCCGTACTATATCATTAAAAGAAAGTGGTCTCCTCCTGCCAAGAAGGAAAATCAGGGGGAAAATTGCTACATGCAAGATAAGAAATAAACAGTTTATTAAAGGTGCTTAGACATAGATTTGACCTTAATATTTTCTCAAATTTTCTGTTTAATATCACGACTTATATATTGCAATAGCATTTCACACGAAAATATAATTAAAAACTTATTTTATCTGGAAATTAGTGGAACTACGAATTCTGGGACGCGTTTGATTAACACATCTTTTCACTTACACAAATTTTAACTTTATCCTTAATATTTAAGAAAAGAAGCGATTTTGTTATGTATTAATAAAAAATTTTACATCTATAATCCAGAAAATTAATAGTAGAAATGTTCGAAAGCAAAACCAACTCACCAGTATTGTCAGTCCGTGCTCTGTGATGTGTACAGAGTTTAACAAATTGAAGACACCGGTGACACATAAACTGTTTTTGTAAACAGGGCACGAGCTCTGCAGGGATCGACATTAACGGTTGTCCGATTGCCCGGAACAAGTAAATTCTCAGTTCGGGCAAGTGAGTCTTACGACGTACCTGTCCGATCGGGCAAGCGATTTTTTCTCAAAGAAATGTACATATTTATTTAGTTTACATTAATTTATATAAAAGAAAACAATAAATTGAAGATTTGATTTCCGCCAGGTAACTGACTGATTGATATTGTTTTTGAATTCGGAATTCCTTGTCGCAATTTCTGGATTATACCTTTCATTTGAAAGTCGGGTTCGTTATTTCGTTTTTTTTTCTCCTGGAAAATGTGCTATTCGTCTAACATCTAAAATGTTAACTTATTTGGAAATTAGATAATTTATTCACTTACAGAATATAAGTAAAGTGTAACACGATGTATCCTGATCAAAGTAAAGAACGATGTATGTTACGTAGCAACTATCTTCCTTCAGCGTTGTTTCACAGTTATCTCAGAAAATCACGATTCAAAAAAGAATCCTACCGAAAATAATTTTTAAAAATATGAATTTTATTAATACGGAGGTACAAACGCAGCATCGAAATTTTTTCAGGTACCTCACCTTGCCAAATTGACAATAGTGTATTTGGTTACATTTTTTCTTGTCATAACATTTACAGTAATAAAAAAAAAATCTTCTGAAGTTCTGTTCATATTTGGGCAACAAAGTTTTGCATTCGGACAAGTCAGATTTTGAGATCACTTGCCCGAAGGGCAAGTAAATCTGAAAGTTAATGTTTATCCCTGCTCTGTTATTGTTAATGTTTACGATTCACAGGGTGTGTGCAATTAAGGACATACGCAACGTACCTTACCTACTGATACTTTTTCGAGATATTCTTAATTTAAGATTATAGTGCTATCAGATGTTCGTAGACAAAAAATCAGCATGCATTACCAGGGGTTTTGAAAAGATATCAATTGATGAAAATTCTTGTATAATTCAAAGAAAAATATACAAAAATTACTAAACATATATTCTAGATGTTTTGTTTATCCAAACTTGTTTTAGAAGAAGTGTACAATAACATATATAGACATTAAAATTTAGCACACAGTTCCTTTAAGTATTGGAACTCTTCAACTCCAAGGAAAAAGACAATAAAGTTCAAACTATGTTGCGTATGTCCTTAATTGTTAAACTCTGCACACACCACTGAGCACGGACTTACAATACTGTGAGTGGGTTTTGCTTTCGAACATTTCTACTCTGAATGTTCTGGGTTATAGTTTTAATATTTTTCATTAATACACAACAAAATTGCCACTTTTCTTAAGTATTAAGAAGAAAATTAAAATATGTGAAAGCGCAAGGATGTGTCAATCCAACGAGTCCAGAAATTTGAAGTTTTAATAACTTCGAGATGAAATAAGATTTTTATTATATTTTAGTATGAAATGCTATTAATAGCAACATATAAGTCATGAAATTATACAGAAAATTTGAGAAAATATTAACTTCAAATCTGTGTCCAAGCACCTTTAAGTAAAAAGAAACAGTAAAAAGATAACTGAGAGGCCATTGAAATGTACATGTACCTACCGTTCAGTCGACAGAATGGTCACTGAATAACCCCTGAAAGGTCAAGAAGAGACTCCTTTCAGTAACATTTCAGTGGATATTTGGAGTAACTTCATTCTGTGAACTTTAAGTTTCCCATACCACATAACCACTGAAAGGTCACTGACAGATTCCTTTCAGTAACATTTCAGTGGATTATATGGAGTAATTTCATCCTGTGAGCTACACGTTTTCCATACCACTCAGTGTATATATATAAAAGTCTTTCCTTAGTTAAAATCTCGAGGTGGCATGTCAGATTCGCTTTCCCGCAAAACGTGTCTCTCTGTGTTAACATCTGAAAATGAAATTGAAAGTAGGAGAACTCCACAGGCACATTGTATGGGGGCACTTTTTTCTAAACATAACTTTTTGCTATTGAAAATGTTCATGGAAAGACCGGTTGCCCCCCCCCCCCCCCCCCACTTTTTGTTGCAGTATAGTCAACTAAGGGTATTGTAGTGGTGTATGAATAAAATTTGGTACTGAAAGAAGCTGGAACCTACACCCACCCACCCCACTCCCTACGAAATAGGATTTTCGAGTGGGCAAGGTTTTTTTTTTTCAGGAAAGTTGATTTTTTTTTTCTCTGGCTGCCCCCTCCCTTTCAAGAACAATACTACAGTGTACGTCCCTGTCCCAGACTGTTATAATACAGAAAAATAATTTTACCGATTTTCTTAAATTACACTTGCCAAGCAATTTTTAAAGGAACATACTCCCTATCAACAAGTTTGAGGCTCAGTTTAGTAAATTATCACATTTTTTTATTCAAGTCTGCAAATTAAGGAACATCTGATGTAGATTCCAATCCATTCAAAATCATGGCCTCCGTGGATCGGTTAATATATCTTTTACTGGAGCCAACTTACACTGTACACATTGTGAAATGTTGGAAACAGAAGATCACTATTTTTATTTAGTAAACTTGATATATTGACATTCCTTTCTCAGAATTTGTTTTGTCCAAGATGTGGGCAGAAATGATGACATAAAATGGGTTTTAAGTTTTACACGTGAGGAAGTCATTTAAAAATTTCTAAACCTCAACAAGCATAGAATACTCGATTTAATATGCAAAACATTCTCGGAGCTAATTAGATTTTTTTTAATGACTTAAACTGATTCAGCAATATTACTTTTATAACCTCATATTCGATGGACATTCATAATATTTACTGCTTACTACAGGTTGTATTTGAAAGATTTCTTTTGCAGAATAATGCATTTCCAGTTTCATTCGGGGATCATAATCAAAACACCTACTCTCGTGGCCTTTCAACATTCGACTACAGAGACAGAACGAGCAACGGGGTTTTTCGACACGACAACACTCAATTTATGAATTTCCAACAGAAGATTGGCGAAATGTCTTACGAAGCTTCATATAGAGTGTTTCCTAGCTCTTGTCGACAACAGTTCGGGGGAAATCCCGGACACACACCTGATATTTTATCCGGAAACTGGAAGAACCAAGGTACAGAGAAGGCCGAGTACCTCGATCTTGACAAGATAGACAACAACTTCCAGTCTTACGAGAGCAATGGCAACATTGTGCACACAGTGCAAAATCGATATATCGATGATCGATCACGATGTGATTCACAGGGCTATGATATCGGAATCCACGACAACTACAGCTTCGGCGTCAGTAATCAAAGGGCCATGACACCATTTGACATGAGATACACAATTCCCAGACAACCAACTGGAGAGTAAGAAAGTAGTTAAAATGTCATAACCTTTCCATTAATGAAATCAAACGAGCTCATTATCACAGAAATATAATCATTTAGTAATGCAAAAAAAAAAAAAAAAAAAAATTTCCTCGCCAAACTTCATTTTTATGACATTTCCGTATTCTAACTTCATCCCTTTTTTAAAAAAAATATTTATGTACTAAATTAAGTATCTTAACTATTTAATAATCGTGCTCTTTTATTATTATTAATTGACAAAGAGGAAATATAGTCCTACAATACAAATTACATATCGAATACATATAAAATAAAGTTTTATAATTAAAAAAACCTGAAGTATTAAAGAAATCTGTCGCAAATTCTATGGTCGATGCAATGACCTTTTAGCAAATACAATCTATCGTTTAGTTGACTGACGTTTTTTATACAAATTGTTAGGCCATTATTTTCAACGGATTTTTCCGTTTGTCCGATCATGACAAGGAGCACACGGTGGGTGTGACCGGTAGGCAGGGGATGCTTACCCCTTAATAGCAACTGATCCCACCTCTAATAATTTTAGAGGTCCGTGTTTGCTCTGCTCCCAATTGTATTTGTCTCATTGGACTATTTAGCTTGATTACTGTTCTTCATATTTCATACATGTGTGTCGAAATCTTACCTCTTTTTAAGCTCAAGTATGGTGAATATTTTGTCAGGTTTACAAATTTGTTACGCTCTGAAACATTTGCAAATGTAAACACTGATTAAACATGTATCGGATGCATTTTCTGTCAATTCAATCTTTTATTTTAGAATTGCTACTTCTCTTTCTTTTATGATTATTAGAGTTCTTTTCAGTTTTATGTATTTGAAAATATTCTGTATTATTCGTTTTAAAACTCATTTTTTAAATACGCGACTGTTGTAAATTTTGAATTAAATAAAGATTAACAAAGTTGTCATATTGTGAATTCGCGTTTTGAGTTTATTGCCCCCGGTAGTCAATTACACAACTGAGTTTATTCATATACAAGTGTTTTTGTAATATATTTCTAACTTTTTTTCATATCGAAATAAATTTCGTTGTGTTAATCAGGACTAGAGTTTGAACAACGCAGTGAATTAATTCGTTGATATTTTGTTTGATAATTGAATTACATTGATTTAAAATTGTATATCCTAAGTGTTTTCTACTGACTCCAATTATATTAATGATATCGATATGTTGAAATAGTGTTTTTCATGTATTGCAGCCAAGGGTGCACAACAAGCATGCAGTCTACAACACTCCCTCGCAAACTCTGTGTGTCTGATCATAACAGTATTGAGCAGTGTGAAAGCTTGTTATGTGCAGTTTGTGGGGATAAGGCCAAGTGTCAACATTACGGCGTCAGGACTTGTGAGGGCTGCAAGGGATTCTTCAAGGTCAGTTTCCCATTCGAAGCCTGCATTATTTTCCACCTTTGTGTTATTTTCATTCTAAAAATAATTGATGATGCTTTATTCAATTTGCCAAAACAAGAAGAAAACATTTTGAAGATATCTTACTGATTTTTTATGTAACTATGAAAACACCGTCTATTAAAAACAACAATTTTATTGAAATCCGCAAAAAAATGAGAGGTTGCATTTTGAGAACACTTACACACGATGAGCTAGACAGACGGACAGTTGTCACTTAACCAGGGATAAACATTAACTTTCAGATTTACTTGCCCTTCGGGCAAGTGATCTCAAAATCTGACTTGTCCGAATGCAAAACTTTGTTGCCCAAATATGGACAGAACTTCAGAAGATTTTTTTTTATTACTGTAAATGTTATGACAAGAAAAAATGTAACCAAATACACTATTGTCAATTTGGCAAGGTGAGGTACCTGAAAAAATTTCGATGCTGCGTTTGTACCTCCGTATTAATAAAATTCATATTTTTAAAAATTATTTTCGGTAGGATTCTTTTTTGAATCGTGATTTTCTGAGATAACTGTGAAACAACGCTGAAGGAAGATAGTTGCTACGTAACATACATCGTTCTTTACTTTGATCAGGATACATCGTGTTACACTTTACTTATATTCTGTAAGTGAATAAATTATCTAATTTCCAAATAAGTTAACATTTTAGATGTTAGACGAATAGCACATTTTCCAGGAGAAAAAAAAAACGAAATAACGAACCCGACTTTCAAATGAAAGGTATAATCCAGAAATTGCGACAAGGAATTCCGAATTCAAAAACAATATCAATCAGTCAGTTACCTGGCGGAAATCAAATCTTCAATTTATTGTTTTCTTTTATATAAATTAATGTAAACTAAATAAATATGTACATTTCTTTGAGAAAAAATCGCTTGCCCGATCGGACAGGTACGTCGTAAGACTCACTTGCCCGAACTGAGAATTTACTTGTTCCGGGCAATCGGACAACCGTTAATGTCGATCCCTGTTAACCATAGTATTGGCTCTTCTGGTCTGTTCATTTGAATGAAGTATTAATATGAAGAATGAAGAATATATTTTAGAAGAAACTAACCATTTAGCTTTATTTCCCTCATGTTATAGAGGACAGTTCAAAAGAGCCCTAATTACGTATGTGTCGGGGATAAGAAGTGCATGATCGACAAAGGGAGGAGAAATCGGTGTCAGAGCTGTCGATTTCAGAAATGTTTGTCTGTTGGAATGACGAAGGAAGGTATGTACTGGTAGGCTGTTGATGGTCCGTAAGTCGTAGTTAAGATTTGACATCATTCGCATGATTTTTTTTTTAAAATTTGGAATGTTCCTCTCTGGAAGTGATGTAACATGATTTAATTGCATAATATGATCGATCCACATTCATTATTCCCATTTCAGTTGTACGAAGTGGATTCCTGAAGGGTCGCCGAGGGAGATTACCGTCAAAGTCGAAACATGCCCTGTACTACTCGTCACCTTCAAGAACCTGAAATTTCTTTGATACCCAAATTTTAAAAAAAAAAACACACATTAACAAAAAAAATCATGTAGAGATACAAGGAGAGACCCCATAGGCTCGGATTGTTTTTTCTGGAGTTGGGGAGATATTTTTGTACACGAAGATTACATGTATATTCCTTTTTTAGGATATTGGGAGATGGCAGTATGAATCCGAATGAAAAATTTATTTCAGACTGGAGTCTTAATGTCAATCCGCGTGCATCTTTTGAACTTTGAAGAACTTCAACTTCTTTTCTGAAACGGATGAAACACGTTCATCCACGTATGGTAATCGGTATTTTTGTTTGAAGTTGAACAAACTTTGAAATTCACAGTCCTCCTCCCTGGCTTCTAAAGCAAACTCTATCTCTGATTGTAAAATTAGGTTGGAACATAACTTGTACACCATGAAGCATCATCAAACCTTGTTACTTGTTAGGATTAGAGTAAATTTAAACGTTTTCACAGATCGGCTATTTTGTTTGGTTCCTGAAATGTGTATCCTTTGCCAATGTGTTGCACCATATCATTATAGTTCGTAAGGTCTTCCTTTGATTAATATCTATATATACATTATATACATGTATCATCAAATTACTTTTACATGTATCTAATTAATTAATACATATATATTCATTATCTTAAGTAGTAAGTTGAAATAAAAAATAGTTCCATTTATAAAAAAATGAATTTTGTTAAATAAGAATTCAGGTCAGGTTCTGCTTAAAATAAAATATTAAAAGTATAAATCCATACAGGTCCCTTATATTTGAGCTTGAAATGTTGTGATTTTTTCTTTCTTTCTTACAGTTGCACAACTTGCCATAGAAAGGGTTTACGAAGTTTAATTTTAACTTCGTTAAAATTTGCTAAATTTTAAAATTTAGGAAAGGACTATTTTTTAATGGAACAGCAACGTAGGAAAATATCAAAACTTTTGCTATTCAAATTTACTACAGAGTAATGAATTCTTATATATTTTTCTTTTCACAAAGTCTTTTAGGCTATTTTGAACGAAATGAAAGATATTTAAGGGTCTTAAGTTTTAGAATATATTAAACAAATGTGATTTTGCACACAAACTAAAATTTTGTTTGCTAAGCAATCAATCAATAGACAAATTTGAGTGAAAACTCGACAAAAACTGTTCTTTTTCTTCTATTATTAAGCGGTTAATTTTTTTCAGAGGCGAATCTAGAAGAGAAAGGGGGGAGCGGAGCGGAATTTTCAGAGTTATTAAATTAAAGATTATAAATTTCTGTGTCAAAGTAACGAAAAAATGATCTTTAAAATCGGTATGGAGAGTCATCTATAAAAAGAAAATTGACTTAGGAAAATGTTGTCCCCCCCCCCTCCCCCCCACGAAAGTCGAAATATAGGTTTGGACAAGTTTATTAATTTCTTTATTTCGTTTTGCTTGTCAGGAAATTTCAAGTCTGATATATGTTACAGTTTATGTGGACACCCCCCCCCCCAAACCCCCCATCCCGGGAAAAAATACTGGATCATACCCTGGTTTTGTTAAAATTTTGTATCTCTATATCACCTCTTTATCATATGTGAAAAAAAAATCAATTGTATGAAGCATAGAAAAGTAACCAATATTTCTTTTAAAAATTCTGAAAAGCGGAGGAAATTCGGGTTTGCCAATATTTTTTTCAAGTTCAATTATCTATCTCAGTTTGTTAGTTTATCTGATAAATCACTGGGGCTTACTATCTTAGTGTAATTTAAAAAAAGCAGATAATAAACAGTTAGCATCTGTAGTTGGTATATGTTTTTTTTTCATAAATATCTTTTTAAAATTCCAGGAGCAAGCCCCTGTGGAAAGATCTTATGTTTTATTATATTTTTACACAAAAGGAAAAGCATATTATATTATAAATAACTATCATATGATTGGCTCCAAAAAAATTTAATCCTTAAATATAAAAGGAAAAGATAGTGACCTTGACCTGAAATTTCTACTCAAATAAGACGGTCAAATTTGATCTTACTAATAATATCGCATAGTGATATTGTCTTCTTGGATCAGTGAAAATTTCATTAATTATTGAATACAATAAATATGAGAAACATCCATCCTGTAACCTGTGTGACTGTCCTTTCAAATGATTCCCCCAACGAAGATTTTGACCTAGTTCTTACGACTTAATTGTTATATTTTGTTATTTTACATTTGTTATCACACGTTTACTTAAAGCTATATATGGCGTATCTGAGCTAAAAAAGATTAAAAAAACGCATGAGATTGAGTGTAGATGATATATGTTACTTACGTTCAAATTAAAATTTTTACCGATTTTGAACTTGAATAACCTCATGTTTATATAGTTAAATTGACTTTAAACTGTGTCTGTTATTTAATTGCGGAGTCGGTAAATAAATCGGTTATTGTTTTAAATTTCTAATATCTTTGAAACGTGATTGAATTAGATTGTGTACTTTACAGGAACGAAGTCCTATCTTTATACAAAGTAATAAAACAAATAGAAAGATCTTTTTAATTTTAGTTAATCTGAACTTATAAAGAATACGCCATATATGACTTTAAGCTAAAACCGTGGCATACACGATGGAGGCTACTTGTGGTTTCAGAAAAGAAACGAAGAATATAATTTGGATATCTACTACCGACAATATATGTAAATTTTTCAATACTGAGGGATTATTATCCAAAGAGCTTTGTTACTTGTTACATTTTTTCAATAAAGAAAATATTAGTCATAGTGTAAAATAGTGGGTTTTACCTGAAAAATACTCAGAGGCCAGAAGTAGGAAAAGTAGGCCATGTACCTATTTATTAAAAGTGAATAATAATACTACAATCATAGGTCTACAATGTACAATAGGTTATTTTTCATTCCTATCAAGTGGAATTTTTTGTCATCTCAATAAGCGCCATCCGACATTCATACCATGTTCTAATGGTTTATGCATAAATTACTGTAAATATTTTTTTTTTACTTTTTGTTGTGTATAATTTCATCTTCTTTTTCCCTTCAGTACGCCTTTGACGTTGATGCAAAACATAAATTTTGTTATAAAGATTTATGTTTTCAAAAATTTCTCGAAGTAACAATTGATGTTTGGTTTTAAGGAGTAATGATGTAGTTATAATTACATGTATTTACAGCACATGTAAATAGTATACGGTAAAGACGTGCTGGGCTTGAATTCATATTGAATTTTCAATCATTTTCTCATTTTTCCTTTCTCCTTTTTTTTTGTATTGCACTGTATTTAATTTTTTGATGTTAAGGACATACTAGTAATAATTAAACTTCTATTGAATTTTCATACGTGTACGTATTTCCTCAAATCATTTTTGTATTGTCATTTAATTGTCCATTGATTTATCATGACTCAAGTGTCTTTGTACAATTGATAGTGTTGCTTTTCCATGATTTCATTTTTTCAATTTTATAAATTTTATTGATACATGTATATAAATATATTGATCAATGAGGTTTAGATGAAAGTGCGACAGTTGCATATGTCTCAAATCTGCATTTTCACAAAACCTCTCCATAATTTGATTTCATTTTTCCCCTTCAATGTTATGAGCTGAACATATTCGATTGTTAATTATTGAAATATCTGTACAGTTATTTCAGTTAAAATTTGTTTCCAGAATCATATTCCAATGTATATATATATGTTTATAATGTATATTGTTTGATCGGTGTTTCATTTTGTTTAATACAATAAACATTATCAATTTCGTTTTATTATTATTGTTATTATTTATTTATTTTTTTTTTAATCCTGCAAGTTATCTTTTAATAAGTCGTGGTAGGCTTGCGCCAATATGGACAGGTCCGTAGTACCAGGGGGACTATAAGAGCGGCGGCCTACCTTTTTTATCAGTATTCAATAGCTGTAAATTTTGTACGTGTATTTTCATTTAAAGACCTAAATGAATTAATTTTTATTTATAAAGCACATTTTATAAATAAAAATTAATTCATTACAATGTGTATCGGTAACGATCCTCTAATAAAACTAGTGTCCAAATAACTGTATCTCACTTCCATTCTCAATGACCGTGTAGTGTAGGATAGCGCCGCGAGAATTCCATCGGTATCTAAAGCAAGTTTTTAGACTTGTGTGGCAATGCACTTTGAAAAAAATACGCACTTTGAAATTTTTTTTTTTCAAAGTGCGTTAAAATTGGGACAAAATCAACGCACTTTGAATATTTTTTTTCAAAAATCAACGCACTTTGAAATTTTTTTTTCAAAGTGCGTTAAGGCTGTACATCATTATTTTTTACCATGGCGACACTTAACGCACTTTGAAAAAATATGTATAAAACAAAAATTTGGACATAGACAGCATTATTATGTTATATTGCTTTCGAAAACTGATGAATTAATTGATCTACCCTCATCAAGAGCGAGGCGAAAACAGGTAGAAGGTCCCTCAGCCAAACTCTTTATCTTTCCTACCCAAATATATGTATTCACATAAAGTAGTATGACATTGGTATACTTTCTCTCAATAAATATGAGTTATCGTAAAATATATGAAAAAAAAGAGATAAGCTTTCCTGAAAAAAAAATAATAATAACGCACCCTATTGTATTAAAGAAGAGAGGTTCAGGGACCATATCGGGGATCTAAGCAACAATAGCCAACTGACTATACTTTGGTACTTGTAGCTTTACAAAATCAACTTGTATAAAATGCATTTAAAATAATTTTCATACCTCTTAATACTTATCAAAGAACTATATATATATATATATATATATATATATATATATATATATATATAAACCCTAAGTGTGTGAAATCAGTCTGTCGTGTAATAAAAAATAAATGTCAATAAATCATACCTAGATAATAAACCATTAAAATGGGAAATTTCGATTCACTGTATAACTGATAACTATGGGATTACGGGTGGTCGATTAATGCTAAACAGAAAATGCCGACCGGAAATATCATATAATAATACATAATTATGTTTATAATATATATAAAT